GACCTCCCGGACTTCGCCGCCATCAACCGTGCGGTCCCTCAGATGCCCACAGGCATGGAGAAGGAGGAGGAATGCGTGAGTACCACACAAAGGACACACACATGGCTGCCATTGCAGACCTGTGCTGCTGAGGCGCCAAACTGCCACCACGAACACCCACTGACCACCGATGCTCAACATGACACGAACCCAGTGTTTGCTGTGTTTTATCCACTCATTTGATACCAAATGAGTGGCATTTGCGGCAATGAGTGGTCTTTGGTACGTGTGTTTAGACATTAGGACTAACGGTGTGTTTGTCTGACAGGAACACCATCTCCAGAGGGCTATCTCCGCACAGCAGGCCTTTGGCCACACCGTTGAACACGTGATCCCAACCCCGGAAGTGTACGCCGCGCTCGACAAGGACTACGACGAGCTCTATCCGCCTAACTATAAGATCCCGCGCCAACTGATTCACATGCAAATGCTGGCTATCGAGCAGGACATCCCTGACTACGACATGGACTCGGAGGACGAGGAATGGCTGAGCACTCAGTCGATGCAAATGTCGTTGACATCAAATAAGTTCGAAGAGATGATGGAAAGGCTGGAGAAGAGTAGCGGACAACACGTCGTGACACTAAAAGAGGCGAAACTATTGCTCAAAGAGGAGGACGACTTGATTATCGCTGTCTATGACTATTGGCTCAACAAACGACTCAAAACACAACAACCTTTGATCCCAATAGTCCGGAGCGAGAAGAGGGACGGATCGACCGGTAATAACCCTTACGTCGCCTTCAGGAGGAGGACTGAGAAAATGCAGACCCGAAAGAACCGCAAAAACGATGAGACGTCTTATGAAAAGATGCTGAAACTCAGGCGAGACCTCAGTCGCGCTGTGTATGTCTTCACCATATGATTGCCACTCAACACAACACTAATTGTCTCATTGTTTTGGTTTATAGAAATTTATTAGGATTTGTAAAACAAAGAGAGGATTTCAAGAGAGATCATCTCCAATGCTCGGTCGCTATCTATGAGAAACGGTATGACATTTGTTGGCATTTTTGGTTTTGATTGTATTTACAATTAATTGTTTGATTGATTGCCAATAGCTATCAAATTGGTGACTATAGCGGACAAATCTTTAGCGAAGTGTCGGCGCTTCGCCATATAAGGCCCGCCTCCACCTATTTATCACTAAATAATCAAAGCGTTAAAAACAATGAGCGAGGGGTGGGTCGGCCCAGGATTCGAGTAATTGATTGCTATTTTGTTGTATGATTTATGGCAAGAATTAATGAATTGTTTGATTGCATCCATAGACTGACGATCACTCGAAACCCCGACCCAAGCGGTCGTACAAACGGCGCGACAAACGCGACGAACCGCAACCGATTCGTGTCGAAGTTCATGACAACGATTATACCTATAATAGTTCCGATGACGAAGTCGGCAGTACGTCACCCATCGCTGACCAGACCTCCGATCAGGAGGAACACGAAGACCCCGACGGAGTGTACGCTTTCAAGAGGAAGAGGGGCTGTAGTTATTACGCGCCACTCATCGATAGGTTAGGCAACTGGCCGTACAGTTCGCCTCGTGAAGGCGGCACTGGAGACCGCAGATACAGGTTCTGCTTGACGTCCATATCAAAGCCGACGCCCCGTTGTATAGGGTTTGCTCGGCGGCGATACGGACGCGGAGGACGGTATGGATGACAACCCATGTGTGCGTTGAATGAGTTATAATTTAATGAATTCATTTGTATTACAGATTACTTATAGATCGCGCCTACACTCCACTCGACCCCTTTTGGTCGGATTTTTCGCGAAACACAATTCCAAACGGATTTCCCTCTAATAATGAGCTTTTGAGTGAAATTAAAAACGAATGGTTTGTTTGAACTCATTGTGATTGATATGAAAAGATTTTATTTTAACCATTTGTTTGTCTTTAGGTTACACTTCAGGCCCCGAACGCCACCTCAAGAGTCTTCAAATTTGTGTAATTTATCAGAAAGTGTTGATAACAATGAATACGATTCTGAAGGGAATGTGATTCCTGTAGTGGCCATCACCTCATTGAAGGACTATATCGACGAAAACAGCATTACATCGAATGGAGTGCACAATGAGATAGATATCGAGAGTTTCCACAAACATCAGGAAGAGTTGATGGAAATGCAGAGGAAACAGATGGAACGCCTCAAACACAACCACCAGACAGTGGGTGACCCTCAGGGGTCCCATAGTGTGTGCAATTCAGAACATGTGGGCCATTGGTCGCACTCGTCCAAAGTGGTGACGCCGTCGCCCTCATCGGTGTCGTCCCCCATGAAGAAGGCGTCGAGTGTAGTGTCATCTGAAAACTGGCCGCCAATGCGTTCAACTCAGAGCTCAATACAGTTCTCAACGTTAGACTCGGCATCGGTTCAGTTCGCCGTTAGTGTCGTCCGGAGTGCCAGTGAATTGACTTCTAGTGTCTCTCACAATCGGACACAAACTCATAACACATGTGCTAATGACTCATCCAAAGAGACTCCACTCAACTCTTATGCCAACAATTGTGAGAAACAATACATTAGTGACAAGCCGTTGGGTGCGAGCAATGGTCCCATTCATGGCAAGGATATGTATCGCAAGACAAATAACATTGAACTAAGTTTGCCGTCCACTGCATCTCTGACCACCTCTACGACGGGCCCAGTGCTCGACACAAACGACTCGCACTCTCTCTCACCCCTCACTCCGAGTCCCACCTCAACCTCAACCCCAACCCCAACCTCTTGTAAATCGAAATTTCAAAACAGTAGCCAAAAGACGAACACAACTATACCTCCGACTGATGTCACTTGAATTGGACTCTAATTTATATTTCTCTCGATTTCATTGTTTTCCAATTGATATATCATTTGATCGATTGCTCCCATTCTGTGCTGTAAATCGTTATTACTTTTGTTTGTCTCAAACGAGTCATAACTAAACACAAGAAAAAACTTAAAAAAACATTTTTTGATTTGCATTCTTCGCATTAGTATTGAAAATAAATTGTTTTATATATATTTATTGTACTTAAAAACTTATTAATATAACAAACAATAGAATGTGTATATAATATAAATTGAAAAGTTATCCAAAATGCTTTTTATTTATCACTAATACTTGTGTCAACTTAAGACTAGAGAGGTTTTCATAGGTTATATGATCTGACAGTTCATAATCGATGGATATTCCTCTCGATGGATTGTTCACTACTTGCTATGAATTTTTTTCTTGAAAATTTACATTTTTCAAATCGATTCTTGATTTTTAAGCATTTCTAATGAATATAAAATCAATGCCTTAAGACGTGAATATAGACTGATTGTACAGTTTGGTTGAAACTCATGACTTTACAATCAACTCAAGTTATAATCATATGTTTGTGTTGTGCTTACAATCATAAAGTTATCGACACAACGAACTAAACGAATAAATATAACAAAACGTTATATTTTTCCAAAACAACCAAAATCTGTCATTTCCTTAAATACATTTTTTGAGTTCAAAAACTTTTAGAAAAATTATCGCAAGTATTTGCTCTAAAAACTGTAATCACATTTTGAGACTGCAATCACATTTAAAATAAGCTATTAGAACATCAATTTTATTATATTTAATAGTCTTGCTTGTAAATTATAGTCTAATATATTTGAACAGTACGTTAAACGATGCTGGGATTTGATTAAATAATTGTAATTATATTATTTTAAACTCACAGGTAAGTTATATCATATACCTTATATGTATCGATTAATAAATAGCCGGAAAGCTATTTGATTGCTTTGTTTCTAATGGAGTTCTTAATGAATTGAATCGACAAAACGTTATATTTAGAAATCGCTTCAATTCTTACAGTTTTGTATAATTAGCCGACTGTTGGACCCGTATTCCAGTCATAAAATATTATATGCAATGATATTTCATTTTTAAGATTGCTCTCAAACTATTATGAAATCAAATGCTAATGTTAGGCACCATGCACGTTAATGCACTAAATGATATTTGAGAAATATTAATGTGTATACTTTGCGAGTATTAAATATGAATTAAAACAACTATTTATCGCAATCAATACAAATAAACAAAGCATATATACTCCAAATGCAATCTCTATCAGCGAATAGAAAGGTTGTGTCAATTCATTATACAATAGAGATAATTAAGATGTGTTTTATTTCATCACTAATTCATGAATCAAAAACTCGTACTATTCTGTACCGTATATTCATATTTATCGCGTGTAACTAACATTTAATCCATAACTTTATCAATCATTTATTAGAAATGCAATAAGTTATACAATTTCGTTTCTTGGGATAACCAAACAAACATAGGATGTGACCACTCATATGAAATCATATTTAGAATACATTTATGTATATCTCAAGTGTTTATTGGGAAATTTATACAAATTAATGAATTAGTCACAGATTAGAGTCTCTGTGCTTATCACTGATGCGGTCTCAATAGGAAACTGTAGCATCAGGAATGACCACTTTATGTTAAGAATTTTAGATTTGAAATTATCATTAATTTTGAATAATTTGCATAAAACTTAAAACCAACCTATGTTAAGAATATTCATACTCTAGCGTACAATGTAAAATTATTGGATAAACCGTTAAAATTGTTGTGAATCTTTTGAGTCCAATATGTTATATCATAGTTTGCTTGATTGTCAATTGGTAGGCAAAGTTAAAGTAATTTTTCAAAGTTATCATTTTTGTTATTTTAAAAATTCAATCGATTATTTAATGGAGAATTCTTAACTTTAAACCAAAAATCACTAAATTGATTCCCTGGTCAAATATATAAGACAAAATCTGTAATCTGCACCGAATGGCTAATCTGTGGATACTGTATGCTATTTAACATATTACTGATACAGTATAGTAGTCTAAAAAATCCTTTAAAGTATTTTAACTATACGTTTACTTTAAGCTTTAAAGTTTAAGGTATAGTACTTGGCTAATTAATAGTGATAAGAACTGGGAAATTGTTATAGAATTTAGAGCAAGGTAATCTACATGTATTAGACCATAAAATGATTCTATGAATTATGGATAAATAGTGTGTTATTAATATATCAGACAAAAGAAGTAAAGCCAGACTTACTGTGCAAAGAATGGACATATTGTTCGTGTGATTAGTGGTTAAATTCTCACAACAAATGCCAGTCACTAATGAACCCAAATTCCGGACATTATTTGATCAAACATTGAATTAAAGGTCAAACAATTTTAATCCTTAGTATAGGAATGGTTGAGTTGGGGAACAAGTAAGTGGTCATTCATTATATGAATAGACTTATTAAGGATATGAAGATTAGCAGCAAATAAATAAGCAAAATTGCTGTCTATTCTACTGTACGATAAAAGATTATAATTCAAGCTAATCCCTATTTGCATTACCCATCACTTACTGTATAGGAAAATGTAGACAGAAATGACAGACACAGGCGGCCTGTTATCTTAAGACCCTTTAATCTAATAAGGAATCAACAAATTAAAAACACTTCCATGTATTACATAAAGTTTGCAAGAATTGTCAAATTTGTATCTTAAAAGATTCATTGATTTATGCATTCATTGACTTCTGAATTCGTGTGAACTATAGACAAATAGATAAGTGTGTTATTAATATATCAGACAAAAGAAGTAAAGCCAGACTTACTGTGCAAAGAATGGACATATTGTTCGTGTGATTAGTGGTTAAATTCTCACAACAAATGCCAGTCACTAATGAACCCAAATTGCGGACATTATTTGACCAAACATTGAATGAAAGGTCAAACAATTTTAATCCTTAGTATAGGAATGGTTGAGTTGGGGAACAAGTAAGTGGTCATTCATTATATGAATAGACTTATTAAGGATATGAAGATTAGCAGCAAATAAATAAGCAAAGTTTCTGTCTATTCTACTGTACGATAAAGATTATAATTCAAAGCTAATCCCTATTTGTTTGCATTACCCATCACTTACTGTAAAGGAAAATGTAGACAGAAATGACAGACACAGGCGGCCTGTTATCTTAAGACCCTTTAATCTAATAAGGAATCAACAAATTAAAAACACTTCCATGTATTACATAAAGTTTGCAAGAATTGTCAAATTTGTATCTTAAAAGATTCATTGATTTATGCATTCATTGACTTCTGAATTCGTGTGAACTATAGACAAATAGATAAAAAGTTTAACCCAAATCTCATTTACAAAAACACAAGAATTTGAAAAATGTTTGGACTCCAGAACTGCTGTTAAGATTGGGTGAGAAGTCGCGCCTGAAATTTGACACAATCTTGAAGGGACCGGATGTGACACCTAAGGCTCCGTAATATGAAATATTTATTAAACAAATTTACAAAAAGTCTGTTTAGAGAGGCATTGAAAGTGTCTTAAAGGAAAGATTGAAATGTTAGACACAATCTTGAAGGGACCGGATGTGACACCTAAGGCTCCGTAATATTAAATATTTATTAAACAAATTTACAAAAAGTCTGTTTAGAGAGGCATTGAAAGTGTCTTAAAGGAAAGATTGAAATGTTTGTCGAGAGTGAAAGAGAGTGAAAGAGAGGCGGCATTGAGTCGCCGATAAAAGTCGAGTAAAGATATAATAAACTTCGTGTCACTTATGATATAAATCCTAAATAACATAAAGTTTTTTATCTGGACTTCAATGAGTCTCTCAAACAATTTGCAACTTTCAATGGATATTAGTTTGACTCAAACAGACTGTGGCTATAGATGTGGTGTTTATTGAGAAGT